ATTCTCTCAACTGTTCTATTCCAAGCAGAATAGTAAAAGGAAGCTTAATCCAACAATTGGATCTGTGTTGGCTAAATTGAGCATGGAGATCTTCACATATTGATTTTAGTATGGCAGTGATATACATTCAGCTGGTAAATAATTAAAGTCAGCCAGTTATCTGCTTTGTGCACTTATATTGATAATAGGGTGGCATTTTCCTCAATGGAAGAATTTAAACATATGTGAATAACCTACAAGTGTAAAAATCTGATTTTTAATATGTCCCAATGTTCACCACCACCATCTTCAACAAAAATGCCCCCATATCTCAAAAGTCAATAGCAATTTTTATCACAGCTCAGAAAAAACCTTCAGGTAATTAATGACAACACTTCAGATAACAATTATTTCCCTTTTGTCTTTTTTATCTTTGTAAGAGAATCTAGTGCCCTAAAGGAGAAGAAAAGATAATGGTATACAATCAATGCTCATGGACCAGACACCTAATCCTAACTTAACCAAAAAGTCAATATTTAGCTGTACTTTGTCAGTGTGGAAATGTCAAGCATAGGAAGAGACATAAAAAAATTTCCAACTGATTTCTCATTCCTGTCCTTTGGTGATCAAAGCTGTGTGGAAGAGTTTCAACATCCGATAAGACAAAATGGCCTTTGGGGAAAAAAAGACAACAAATGACAATGCTTGCAGCTGCTGAGACCACAGTTTATGAGAGGAAAACAGACACAGGAGATGCATTCTAATCTTTCGTAGCACATTCTCTTGGTCACCTTCCCACCTGGGTGATGCTAGCACTTGATCATTGCTCACAGCAGGCAGCCTTTAGGAGGCAGCAACTTGCTGAGGAAAGTCATAATTTGTTGCCATCCAAGACAATTAACACAAATTGTTTGCATTTGAAATTTGCCATGACTGGAAGAAGATGCATCAAGCTTAACCAGATGGGCTGTGGGTCTTCAAACCAGGAGTTCCACTAGGGCTGCCTTGAAATTACAGCCAATTAGTATAAAGAACAAAGGTTTTCAGTCTTTTAAGAACTTCAGAACCCTTTCAGGACTCCATCTCACTCCACAGAACTCCAGCTCACCTCACCCATGTAATTGCTGTTAAAAGTTGTATTTTGTTAAAAAACAAGGTTACGTTGGAAAAACCTGTAATGATACATTTAATGAGATGGTTGGCCTGTCTGTCAGCATTGAAACATTTGGTTAGGGAAAAAAGGAAATAGTGTAAGAAAGAAAGATTATGACTTAAGTGGCTAAATATGCAATGTTACTGAGTTTTTAAGGAATTGTGAGTGAGCTTGGCATTTCGTGGAACATGCAGATCTGTAAATTGCTGATAGGGAAAACATCATTTCATTTAGAAATCCAACTAGAAGGAACCGGCATGAACTAGATTCACAGAATAATGAGGCCTAAGTTCTGCACCAAGTGCAGGGACCAACCATTCCAAACTATTCATAAGACAAGAGTCACCTAGGTGCTTGTTAAAAATACAGATTCCCATGACCTTCCACCTAAAGATTCGAATTCAGGGAGACTGTAGTGAGACCTGGGAACCTGTATTTTTTTTTTTTTTTTTTTTTTTTTGCAGGGAAGGATTTGCTCTGAGCTAACATCTGTTGCCAATCTTCCCCCTTTTTAATTTTTTTTCTCCCCAAAGCCCCAGTGTATGGTTGTATATCCTAGTTGTAAGTCCTTCTATGTGAGGCGCCACCACAGCATGGCAACTGACAAATGGGTGGTGTGGTTCTGCAACCGGGAAATGAACCCGGGCTGCCAAAGCAGTAAGAGCGCTGAACTTTAACTGCCAGAACATCAAGGCTGGCTCAGGAACCTGTATTTTAACAAGAGTTCAGGGAGATTTTATCATCAGACATATCTGGAAACATTGCTCTACAATGTCCTAGCAAAATGCAGGTTACAGAGTACGTATCAATAATGGAAAGAACAAATGAAGGGAAGAAACTGTAATGAGCATGCTGGAAAAGCAGTCTCAGCCCCTGATTTTGCTGCATGCTCAAACAGTGTGCTGGGGCTCCTGGCCTTGCACAGCTAACTCCCAGTCTTGGAAAGAATGACCTTCAGAGGCAGCTGATAAAGGTTAGGTTTTTGAATGTCACATGGAATCGTACTCCCGTTCCCCTGTTTTTTGTTGCAATGCCATAGTGATGCGCACACAAAAAGACTATGTCCTAAAGAAGGAATAAATGCTAAGTGTTATAAACAGAAGGAAACTTGTTTAGGTCTCCCTTAGGAAGAAATCTTTTTCCTGAGTGTTTCCTGCCATAATAGGTCCTACCAGGCATAAACCATCCTCCCTCTTTAACCTGTGCATACAGGCACAAAGGAGAAGTGGTGTCGAGAGCAGTATTCTGATTTACATGTAAACAATGCAGCTAATAATTTCTGTGCTATCCAACAGCAGCCTAGTTCTTCCTGTTCTGAAGCTGCATGTCGCATTAGCTTTACTCCAGTCCCCAGGGGAAACATTTGTAAACTCCATGGCAAATAGGGAGGATCTCCCTCCACACAATTTATAATACCTTGTTATAATAAAAGCCTCAAAAATATGGGAGCTGAGGACATGTACTAGAAGTTAGAGAAGGAAGGTGGAACCTGTGCCTTTATTCCACTGTGGGGACCTCTGGCAGAGCTTGGGCATGCAGAAGTTTGTGGGACTGGACTGAGAAGACCCAATCATTCCTTTTGTTCAATTTCTATGGCTGCTTCTCATCATCATGGGGCTAATTTAGGCTCATCTAATTTCTATTAAGGCGGGGATAGACAACACACAGGACAAAAAGAGCTCCAGTGAATTTGTTGAAACGTCATGCTCTATCTTTGTGACCGAAAGATTTAGTGAGTGTTGTTGGGTCAAAAGGCAACAAGGCAGAATTAACAAAGTTTGCAGGATGGTCTAGTAGTGGTTCCTAAACTTTGCTGCATATTAGAATCACTTGGGCAGTTTAAAAAATTCAAGTACCTAGGTCTTACCCCATACCAATTCAAGGTTTCTGGGGGTGTGACTCAGGTGTCACTTAAAAAGAAAATTTCTTAGGTAATTCCAACGTGCAGCCCAATTCGAGAAATAGTGATTTCTAGACTAAGCGTATACTCTATATCTTTTCTAGTTATGGTATTCCCTCTGCCTGGAATGGCCCTTCATCCCTTCTTCTGGGGAAGACCTGCTCATCTTTAAAAATTCACTAAAAATATACCTTCCATTGAAAGGATTAGTTTATTCATTTATTCAACAAATATTTATTGAAATTCTTCCTCCTCCATGGCAATCACACTCAGTGACACCACTTAGTACATTTTGCTTATTTTAATTATTTATTATTATTTTTTTCCTCCACAGACTTTGAGTTCTTTGAAGCCAGGGATTACAAACTATTCATCTTTAACTTTTGTAACACATTTCCCTTTATTTCCTCCATTTCCCCAGATTCCCAGCTGAGTGATGCTTGTCCCACAGACACTCAATGTTGAATAATGGTTTTTGGAAGGTATGGTTACTACATCCAGTGGATTCAAAATTGCTATAGTTCAACTTTTAAAATTAAAATTTTTGTTTTGGTAATGCTCAGATTTGCTTGTAATGCTCTTCTCAAAGATGCCTATTATTTTGTGAGTCTTTTGCTTGCAGTAGCATTGCGTGATGCTTTCATGGAATGATTATGTGATGACTCCAAGATCCAGTTCCCAGGCAATATTTGGCATCATGAAATTTTATATTTTACAAACTTTTTTTTACTCTTAATCATTCTCAAGTTCACCTGCCTCATTTTTAGTTGACTTGCTCCTGTACCTACATTTAAGGCCCCCTAGACTCTGGCTCCTAACTAACCTTCATCTGCCCACATCAATCTTGCAGGCTAGTCAGGCTGGTCTCCTCAATGTTCCCCAAGTGTGTCGGGGTCATTTTCCTTCCTGCCTACTATTATTCTGAATTGTTCTGGTCTTCCAAGGCTCACTTCCTCCAGAGTTTTTAGCTGACTTCTCCAGCTTTTTCATGAAATCTGGACCATAAAATTTAGCACTAGTCTTTATTCAGTTTTTTTCTATTTTTTTGTTGCCTAGTCTTTTCCCTCACAGATGACCTGTCTCCTTACCTGACTGTAGGGATTGTGTCACGTGTATCTTTCATAGGACCTGTGACACCTAACTCAAGAAAGGCCATACTCTGGGTACTTAATAAATATTTGATTCTTTAGGGATTTAATTGAATCATATCTGCCATCTGGTAAAACAAATGTGTTTAACAGACAATTTAGAAGGTTTGGAAAGATTTTCTGTGCAACGATTTTCTATAGGATGTAATCTGAGAAAAGTGCAACCCCAGATCTGGAGCCCTGTTATGGGCTGAACTGTGTCCCCTCAAAATTCCTGTGTTGAAGTCCTTACTCCTGTTCCCCCTCCCAGTACCTCTGAATGTGACTGTATTTGGTGACAGATCCTTTAAAGAGGTGATTAAGTTAAAATGAGGCCATTAGGGCAGGCCCTAATCCAATCTGACTGGTGTCTTATAAGAAGAGGAAATTTGGACACACAAAGAGATACCACACACCGAGGAAAGAACATGTGAGCACACAGCAAGAAGGTGGTCATCTGCAAGCCAAAGAGAGAGGCTGCAGAAACCAAACCTGATGGCACCTTGATCTTGAACTTCTAGCCTCAAGGACTGTGAGGAAATACACTTCTGTTGTCTCAGCTGTGCCGTCTGTGGTATTGCGTTATGGCGGTCTGTGCACACTAACACAGATCCTGTGTGCTACCTGTCCAGAGTGACTAGGAGCCTCTCAGGGATAGATTTTCCAGTCCCTCTTCTTCTGCCTCACTTGAGGCATTCTAGATCACGCCTCCCTGAGAGAGAGGATAAAACTGAGAAGCAAAGAGAGAGAGTCCTCCTTCTCTCCCTTTACCTTCCCTGACAAACTCAAGTTCGGTTCTGTGCAAAGGGATCCTGACCAGAAATGTTTTTCTTTTCTTTAGCTGTGGACTCAAGTTCCTTCTCAAGTGACGAAGCTGGGTAAAGGTAAGGTCCTTAAGCCTCTGAAATTAGGTTTTTTTCCCCTTCAAAATTCTTTGCTTTCTTGTGCTTAAATATAGTGGGTTAATTTGTATTTGAGAGAATTCTTATCTGAAAGAAGGTGTTTTAGTTTGGGTTTTCTCTAAATCAGATCCTGAAACAAGGATTTGGGGGCAGGTAGTTTATTTTTGAAGTGGTCCCAGGAAGCACCTTGAGGGAGTAAGATATGAAACAAAGATGGGAGGAAGATGAGTAGAGAAAGCTTTCAGGAGTGGTTACCTTGTGGGCACCTGGGACTCAATCTTGCCAGGGACCCTCTAAGAGACTATGTAGTCTCAGCAAAGGGCAAGGAAGCTTGGGCATTTATCCACCATCCTCTGCCACTCATGGTGCAGGGTTCGTCCTGGAGGAATGAACTCCCCGCCACTTTTGGCTTATGCTGAGAGTGGGCAGAGCATGCTCCTGCAGGCAGGGGAAGTCCGCAGGCAAAGAGGCACAGATTCTTGAGGTAGGAACCCATTGGCTCGTGAAGGGAACTGTCCGTCAATGATATAGGCAACCAAACTGTATACTGCACAAGTCTGTAGTTTTCAGATTTGAGAAAGCTGAATTTATGTTCTCTAAAGTATAACTCACTCTGTTAGGTACCATAAAAACAGATCTTTAGTGCTTTGGGCTTTTTGTGGCTAATTCCTGCTTGTCCTCCAAATTCCCATTTTAGGGCCACTCTACCAGAACTTAATTTATTCTTGCAGTTCTACAGCAGCTGTTCTTGGGTTGACCCTGATCATTGTCTCCTGGTGGCCTACTAGGAGTGTACTTGAAAGCACACTCTATCTTGCCAGTCCCCCAAATCTCCCAAATAAGCCATGTCAGAAAGCAGGGATAATTTTTATCCCTTTAGCATCCCTACCTCCACTCCCACCTCAAGGTACTTATGTTCCAGTAGGGGATGTGTGTGTGTGTGTGTAGAGGGGAGGGAGTGTGTTTGAACATGGCCATGAGCCTACACAGTGGCTACCATTGAAGTTCAGCCATGTCCTGAGCATGTTAAAATTACTGGTGGGCAGGGCCTGTCAGAGTCGTTTTTTAAAAGGTCTGAAGAGCATCCTGGGAGATAATTATTACAAGGGATAAGAAAGCCAGGGGTGATAGCTTGATTCAATAACAAGCCTTAAGTCATCAGAGGAGAGGGGCCATTCTGAGAATGGTGTGGTGTCTATGACTCAAATTTATCTCTAGTCCTGGCCTCCTTTTAGATCATGTCTCAGTCCTTCAGAGAGTTGAGGTGAAAGCTATAAATGAAAATAAAAAGATTGTTTTGCTAAAACTCTGTTGGACACTGGAGGTACAAGCAAGATTACCTAGGGACCCCTTTAACAGAATGTAATACGGTCAAGAGAGAGGGCTTCTTGTCCAGTTCCAACAGTGTCCATAGGGAGGACTGGAAAGGGGCAGCAAGAATTAGAAGCCACATGGTATCTGGCAAGGCTTGTTCCTTAGCACAGGTAAGGTGCCCCCAGGGATTTACAAGAGTTAATTGGGCAGTGCTTGATTGATAGATGTGTCCTGGTGAGTTGAGGAGGGAAGCCATGAAATCTGGGTTAGCTGATTAATGCAACCCCATTTGTTTCCATTGACTTACAGGGACAGAGCAAACTCCATTTACAGATGAAACATTCTGGTTGATAGGGATAAATTCTTTCATTTCTTTCTACAACCAAATTTAAGATAGTCATGTACTGCCTGGTCCATTGTAGGTGCTCAATAATTTTCATTGAATGAATGAAGTTTATGCACATATAAATATCAAGTGAGCAAGAATTGGGAAACTTATCCATGACAAATTTCTAAGCCCCTTGGAGTGAGGAAGCCACTGATATCTTATTTTCTATGTCTTACAGAAATAAATACATGTGATAAGAAAACATTTATAGATGTCTAAATGACTTTGTCACTGTGAAAACTTCAGAGAAATCAAGTTACTGCTGAATAGTACTTTAACCAATTACCCTTAGTTTAGCATCATTTGCTAGCAGTGTGTCTTTGGGCAAGTTATTTAATATCTCTGAGCCTTGGTTATTCTATAAAATTGAGATAATATTAGCTACCTAGTGATGCTCTTGAGAGTATTGGAGAAGATAATGCTCATGAAATGTTTAGTACAGTGCCTGGGACAAGGCAAGCATGCAATAATAATAGTTATCATTATGATCATATTTTAGATAATCTATGACTATGCTAAATAATATCCAACTAAGGAATTGCATCTACTATGTTCTTTGTTTTTTAGTTGGTTTTCCAAGACCACATATTTAATGTAACCTTTATAACTTAACTTTTTAAATAAAGCCTTTGGTGTGGACTCTTGTAAAAAGTTTCTGGAAGTTTGCATATATTCTCTGTGTCCAGTGGTTTTGTCTTATCCATTTTTGACTCCCTCAAAGAGTATAAACAGATTAATGAGGCCTCATTTCCTCTTATATCAACTGAATTGTCTTTTCTGATTTTAGGCATCAGCTTTTGCTTGTTTATGTTTCTTTCAGCTAAACCTGTACCTAAAACTAGGGTCTCTGTGTCCTTCTCCTAGGATCTCCTTTGTAAGCTGCTTGAAGAAGGTTTGCTGGAGCCGTGTGAAAGTGCTTACTGTCTAGAAGACAGAGCTATTTTTAGCTTGAAGGTAGAGCTGTGTTTTTCCTTCTTGGCAAGTTCCTTTTCTTTTGATGAAAGCCAAAACTTGAAGCTAGTGGTGACAGGTCAGGGTCCTAATTGCTGTGCTGTTGGAAATAAGGAGAGATATTTATTGCTAATCAAGTAAATACCAAACCAAATTTCATCAGTGAGAAAGATGAGCCCACTTAGTGGGCTGTCTTATACAACCCTTTTTTTAGTGAGCCTGGGAAATATTGTGAAGTGGTAATAATAAAAACAGCATATGGTCTTTGCAAGAACTTTGTCATACATAAGCAATGTGCTGTGGGTGTGGTAATGAACATCAGGTGTATTTGGTGCAAGACTTCAAACTTGAGGAAGAAGAATTTTGCTTTTTTGCACACACTGGAATGTGTTTTTGCATTTCTAGTATTTTAAAAAAATAAAAACTACATGATTTTTTTATTCCTTATTTGGAAGCTATACTGGTCAGCATAAGAAAATAACTTAAGATCTTCAAAGGCATGCTGTAGAGGTTTGGAAAGCATTTGGTTTGGCTTGAAGCGAGTTTGGCTAGTGAAGTGATGGCACGCAAGAAAGAAGAACAGGTGAAAAAATGTGGAGTTACTTTTATCTTTCAAAAGATTTTCTTGATGAATTGAAACAGCCATGAAAATAAGCACTGGCCTTCTTGCCCAATGGCCTAAAAGTACTTAGAGTGGGCCAAATCAGAATCAGGCAGGGGCCTAATGAAAATCAGGCAACAAGCCTAGGCCTAATTAAATATGTGCTCCCTCCTCCCACTTTTTTATTCCCTTTGGCTCGAGTTTTAGCAAAATAATCTGGTTTTGTGGTAGAGAGATATTTCTCTTCTTCGACTCAGATAGAGCTGGTAATTATTAGCAAAGGCAAACAGTGGCATTAGTTACTCAGCAGAACCTATGAAAATGTTTTTTGGCTAAATAGATTTTCTTGCTGGCCTATTTCGTTTTAGAACTGCTTATAAAAATTAACTAGTATATTTCTGTACTAAAGTAAATAATATCTCTTGAAGTGATTGAATGCAAGTAAGAGACAAAATTTTTCATTTCGTTTGGGAAAAATATTACATTTGCTTCTAGTGTTCTAGGACAACTTTTAAAGATGCTGGTTGAGCTTCAGCAGTTTCTCAAACTTGTTTAAAGGAGTCTTTGGGATCTATGAGTCATGAATAATTTTCTGATTAGGATCACAAGACAGATGTCTCCATAGACTTCTGCAGAACTTTAAAACATCTTTGAACAATGTGAAATTGACATAAGAGTAGATCATTTTCTCCAATGTCCTAGTTTTATAGAGTGGGTACACAGAGGACCCAGGACTGGATCACAGACACCCAGACTCTCAATCGGAGACTTCTTCCTTGCCAGTACCTCCCATGAAGAAGTTGCTGCTTAGTTTAGCGTTTGAATAGGAATAAAACTTGTACGTGACTCAGGGAGATAACATCCTTAATTTATTACAGCATGTTTATGAAATCCTAGGAGATGCCTGAATTATAATAATTGGTGAGTCTGTTTTGCGTCTTTCTCCAAAGCCTTTGTTTAGGGAGCAACTTTTGAAGTCGATGATGATGCCAGATTTGGAAGAATTTTGGAGGCCTGTGTTTGGGGAGCAGCGCAGATGAGAATCAGATTGGATCTGCAGACGGTGGGACGTTACAAATATGTATTGAGCACACGTTATATAGAAGGACGACGAGACAGTGGAATCCTGTGACAAATCACTCCTTTTAAAGAGAAATATAAATACAGTAAGTACTCAGCCACCGTCAAAGGCTAGTTACAAACAACAGCAACAAACCATACAGCTTCAAAAGAAGGCTGGTACCCTATTTTCCTTTGGAAATGCTTAATGAAAAGCTGCATGAAAAATTTTTGTGGATTTGAAGATTTTGGAATAAGCAAGAGGCAGAAACAGAAGTCCACGTGTTCTTGCTTTACTGGCTTTAATTGTTTTGGTTTCAAGCTTAACAGCAAAATGTTCTTGCCAAGTGACTATGCATGTGCATGGGGTCTTTCCTGCTTCGCTTCACTCAGGCGTCCGTTGGAAGAAAGTCCCTGGTTTGTATCAGTCAGACATCATTTTAATGTAAGAGAAAACACGTCCCTTGGAACCATTAAGGGATTGCAACTTATCATTAGAGTGAATAATAGGCTGCAATGTCTGTTTAGAATAGGATTTGAGAAATTAATTACTGGGGTAGGTCACAAAATGCTTCACTGTTTTCTAATGATCATAAACTGCAATTTCACAATCAGATGGTGAAAAATTTGTCAGGGCAATATATTTATCATTTATCACTTTAGAAAGAGGTCAGCAAACTTTCTCTGTAAAGAGCCAGACAGTAGATAGTTTAGGATTTGTGCCTTTGTAGCGTGAAAGCAGCCATAGACAATAAGTAAATGAATGAGCATACCTATATGCCAAGAAAACTTTAAGTATTATATTTCATATAATTTTAACGTGTCTTAATACCTTATTCTTCCTTTGATTTTTTTTTCAACCATTTAAAAATGCAAAAGCCATTTTTAGCCCTGGGTTGTACTAAACCGGGCAGAGAATCAAATTTAGCCTAAAGGCTGTAGTTTGCTGACTCGCTTTAGAAGAAAAGACCCTTTTATTATTTACACTGAGATGTCTGAGTATTATTTTAAAAAGCAATGCATTTTTTTTCAACTCACAATTTTTATATGTTTCTGGTCCAATGATTATTGTTTTTGAAATGCATTGAAAGGTCAGTTTGAGGACTACAGTATGAGGGCTAGCTCAGTGGCACAAGGTTTGACAAATTAAACTCTGACTGTGTTCCTCTCATTATGTTCCAATTCTGTTCATCAGTAAAAGGAACTTCTGTCGTTGCCTCACTTGTTGCAATGAATAAATCTGTATATTTTTACAAAAGAACAACTGTGTGGATTCTTTTGCTGCCGGATGACTTGAGTGTTGGGCTCCTCTTTATAAAAGTTTCCATGACAGTCTGGTCTGAGAGAATGACAGGTTTGCCCTCATGGAGAATTTCTCATTAAGGAAGCTTTTCTTTCACCAGGAAGCTTTATGGGGCCTTAATAATGGCTCAAACAGAAACCACCAAATAGAACCCTTTCATAAACCATACCTTATACCCACCCTGGCCTGAAAGAGAACTTGTTTCCTCCTGTGCGTGGTGATAGGGTGATGTTCAGAAGCTGAGAGGTTAGAGAGGACCACCATGCTACCCTGGGGCTGTTGCTTCCTAGTGGTAACCAAGAGACACAGACACAAGCATGTACTTTTAAATATGAGCTAAGCCAGGAGTTACAGTCCTCTAGCTTTCTTTCTTTTATTTTATTTTTTGGAGGAAAATTAGCCCTGAGCTAACATCTGCTGCCAGTCCTCTTTTTGCTGAGGAAGATTGGCCCTGAGCTAACATCCGTGCCCATCTTCCTGTATTTTATATGTGGGATGCCTGCCACAGCATGGCTTGATGAGCGGTGCTAGGTCTGTGCCTGGGATCGGAACTGGTCAATGCCAGGCTGCCAAAGTGGAGCCCACGAACTTAACTGCTATGCCACCAGACCGGCCCCCTGGCTTTCTCTTTTGAAAGGCAGTATGTGGAATGGTGAGGCGAGTGAGCTCTGAGCTCTACTATCTGAGTCTTTAACCTGGTTTTGCCATTTGCTAGCTGTGTGACTTTTACCTCTCTGTGCCTCAGTTCCCTCCTCTGAAAAAGGGGCATGAAAAACATGTCTATCTCATAGAGTTCTTGTGGGGATTAGGTAGATTAATATATGTAACGCATTTTCAAACAGCACCTGGCATGTGGTAGTGAATAATAGATGATAGCTGTTGTGATGATTTTCTTTCTTTTTAGCCTTGAAAGCAATGCAACATTTGCAAACTCTTATTTAAAGGGAGATTCCTTCCCTCAGGCATAATCACTATGACAATATCCTTTAATCTCTACTTTTTTCTTTCTCATGCGTTATCACTCCTACGTTCTACTGATCTATACCTTCCAAACACCTCAGCCACCCTCTCCTAATACCTGTTTTGGATCTGGTCCTTTATTTTCTTCCCACCCACTGTGCTTGTTATAAACTCAGTGATCTCCTGGACCTAAACAGTGAAACACATGGCTCATATATAAGAGGGAAGTTTAGTTCATCAGGTGTAACCTAATATATTACCATGTAGTTGTAGGACAGCCCAGTCTGGATTTGATTGGAAATCTATAGGTTTTGAGGCAGGTTTGTAGTAAGCTGCTCACCACGTGCCTAGAGCTGAGGAGTTGAAGAGATAGCGCCCAATGGAGGGAAACTGGGAATGTTCTGAACGTGGGCTTCATTCTTTGATGGGGTCCTCCAGTGGCCTAGTAGAATGTTCTGTGTTTAAGGACCTTCACTAAATACTTTGTGCTTGGCTATAATATTGGGTTTGCTTTCCTTTTCCTGACAATTCTTTTCTGGGCTGGAGAAAGAAGAAGGCTTACACGTTGCTGTGCACTATTTTCAATCCAGCTTGAGCTTTGCTATCTTTGCTCTTGGCCCTGTTTTGCCTGTGCTCTGGAGCAGGGTGGGTGCAGACAGTTGTTGAGGGAAGCTTTTATTTTGGTTAATTATTATCCTAGATTGTCTATTCCTGTTTTCTTGGAGTAAAAATGAGATGCTATTTTTTTGGACGACTCAATATACAGATAGTAGATTTATTTTTTTCCTAGAGAGCATGCATTTATAAGTTATGGACAAAGCAATTCTGAAACATTTTAATAGGCTTGCATAAGGAAAAACTACATTGCATAAGGGTTACATAAGGTCTTTGGGTTTTGCTCTTTTGACAACTCTAAAAAAGCAGTTCTCAGCCTTATGAGAAACAATGTCTGCATTAAAATATCTGCACATCCCTTTAAAAAACCAATACAGGCCTAGTTTTTTCCTCATATTTCTTTACTCCCTAGGTATCTCATCCATATGAGATACTCTTCCTGACTTCAAACAGCACTTTCTATATGCAAGAAATACCCAGAGAGTCAAGGAGAATGAGACTATGCCCCATCCATATTTTTATTTGATTGAAACAATTTATCGGATCAACATTCGCTGTTGTGTTAATCGCTTATGCTCTAGGCTCATGTAGAGTTTACATTCATCTGTTGATGCATCTTTCTCCAGCATGCTTGGTTTCTACTCTTTGAAAAGGGCAAAACCAAATGACATATTTGGGTGAAAAGGCAAGCAATTCCTGTTTCTGTCGTTCATTTCAAAGGCAAAATATTCTCTAGTATTTTTACTGTAGATTTTCTGGAGGACAACCAGTGGTGTTCATGATGATTCTGTGTTTATTTTTCTAAGGAAAAGAGAAAGACGAAAACTAGCGTTCTTGGTGCTTACTACATGCCAGGCATTGTACACACATGATTTCATTTAATGCTTGCATTAACCCTTCAGCAGAGGTATTATTATTCTTTTACTAGAGATGAGAAAACTGAGGTTTGGAGAGTAAGTCACTTACCTGAAGCCACAAAGCTGGTAGGTTGTAGAAAGCTAGGATTCATAACTAGGTATATCTCTTTTCCCTAACTCCAACTGCCTCCCTTCAAGCAGAGATGGTCTTTGTTGACCACCTGGCAGAAAATGCTCACTTGGAATATTGAAAAGTATCCTCCAAACAGATTTAACTTTAAAAAACTGTTATAGAATTAGGTGGAAAAAATATGTTGCTTTTCCAGATTTTAAAAGGTAAAAGTTTGAAGCTTAAATTACTGAAAAGTGGGCACAATTACATGGTTAAAATGAACTGGATATATAGGTCTATACTCAGAAGATTAAACATTTAGAATTATTATTCCACGTAACTAATCAAATCCACAATTTTTGTCAGAGTAAGATATTAGTTTAATAAGAATAATATAGACCAAGAAAATGAACAGCTGCTTGTTTGGTTCTAAATATAACAGTAATGATCATATTTTAAAATATTTTTTAATTATAAAAGAATTGCCAACAAAGGAATAAGAACTCAGAGGTTCTTGCAAATGCTTAAAAGCAGCCACATGTTCTTGCTACAAAGCAGAGACAAAACAGTCTTCATTTTTGTGCCAGAATTTCCTTTTGGCTCAGATGACCAGATCTACAAAAGAGAGAATGGGGAGATTTTGCTATTCGAAAAAGGTTTCCTGATATACTTGGGGGAAAAGTTGTAAAAGACATATGAATTCTTCTAAAATAGGTTATCTGTGGGTTATCTATCTTATTACTGTACAAAATGCATTCACTTTTGTCAGTCATGGTTTCTATTTTTGTCTACAAATGGTAACAACTTCTCTGTCTAGGTTTTGAGAAGGTCAAATGATATGTAAAAGTACTTTGGAATGGTTAAAGTGTTATTTGTATGGAATAGTAAATGCATGCAGACAGTATTTTTCAGAATTATCTAATATATTTTCCCCTTGTTGTAATACAGTTTCCTCCTCTATCACCTTCCCTCCGTTATTGTCCCAGGGAAGAACAGGGAGAATGTCACATAGATGCTGGGGAGGATCAGAAAGGGAGACAAGTCTCGTCAGTCAAAAGGGAGAAGTTGAAAACACTTCAAATTCTTGGAGGCACAGGGAGAAGAAACAGAAAGGAAGGAAAGGGGAGAAGGAGGGAGGGAGAAGGGCAAGAACTCAGCTCCTGTGTACTGGCTCCATGCATGAAAACTCCCATAGGGTGGGTAGAAACATCCAGAAAGATTTTAGGAGAACTCAGAATTCCCTTCTCTCCTGAGAGGAGAATGAAAGCCTTTTAGAGAAGTTCTGAGATCAGCGTAGCCCTCCATGATGGGGAAACAGTAGAGCAGGATTGTGAGAGAAGAGCCTACATAGATGGTCCTGAGGTAGTATTTCTGGTTGCCCAAGGCCTGTGCAAGGCATGCACAGGATCCAGAAGTCCTCAACCAAAGAGAGAAGATTCAAACATTTGAGAGAAGTAGTGGACTAGATTGGTCCAAAACACTCTACCACCCATTAGACAGACGAACATCAGAACGTCCAATAATACCAACTATTGGTGAGGGAGTTGGGAAACCCTCTTGTACTGTTAGTGGAAGTGTAACCTGGTACAGCTATCTTGGGGAGTTCTCTAGCAGTGCTTAGAGAAATCTGGTCATATACATATACTAAAGATTCCCACTCCAGGGTGTATATTCTAGAGCCACTCTCACATAGGCCTATAAGGGAACGTGTTTGAACATGTTTATTGATGCTCTATTTGGGAAGACAGAAAGTTGGAGGCAATTGAGGTGTCCACTGCTAGGGGAACAAATTAGTCAATTGCAGAATATACATATGTGGTGGAATTCTATGTACCACTCAAAATTAATTATCTAGATGTGCATAAAGCAACATGAATAGATCTTAAAAACATATGTTGAATGAAAAAACAAAAAAGTTTCATAGCACAATTACATGTATATAAGTTAAACACATACAAGAACACAAACAGCATTACGTATTTCTCAAAGATACAAACATACCTAAATACATTTATGTTTTATAAACATTAGTGTGGATACCTTTAGCAGAGAGGAGAATGGAAGTTAGGATGAGAGGTTAAGAGAAAAACAATAAAATTAGTAAAACATGATATAGGCCTTATGAGTTTGGATGACGGTGTACCCTGAGCTAAGAGATATGATTAACTCAACTCAGAACCTTAGGTTAAAAAGAAAAAAGCTGAAGTTTTCATATCTGAATCATGATGAAAAAATATGGTGTTATATTGTGACATTTATATTCAGGAGAGGTGGTCCTGCAGGGAGTGACCAGCCTCTATGAGTAAGCTACTGATCCGTATCACATAAACAGATGATTTCAGGACCAGGAGAAGGAATTTAGTAAATTGCTTGTTATTTAGTTCTCCGATGCCCTGGAAGATGAAACATTTACCCCCTGAGACTAATTTTTCACTGACTGATCAAACTCAATGTACTGTTTATGTTCTCTGTAACAGGAATTTTAAAGTACATAAATTTTTAAGCAATAGTCTGATATCCAAAAAGATACATTGCTTTCATCTGAAGTAATTTGAAGTTCAACTGGGTGAAATACTGCTACCATTTAAGCTCCTTATTTATTAAATATGGATCCAGTTAATCAGATTTATAGTGTGAAGTTGGAACTCTCTCTGATGGCTGGAGAAGGAAGTCTAATGTTCTTAAAATATTATCCTCTGTGGTCTTCATTATTCACTAGCTGCGTGTTGGCTATCACTTTACCTTCCTAGATCTCGGCTTCCTCATCTGTGAAGTGATTGGACCAGTTCATTACTCCCTGCATATGCAATGATTTCACAATGACAAAACTAAAAAAGGCGATTGAAATTCTACTGAACAGAAAGACCTCCCTGCCGTATCACCGACAGTCTGTCAGGGGTTGCCTCAGGGCCAGAAGTTGAGAAGCACTAACTCCAAAGGTAGGGGTGAGTCAAAGTCCATTTCCACACTATTGCCTTTGAATTACTCAGTGCTTTTCAGAATCAGGCATTTTTAAAATGTCAGTGGATTATTCTTTTTTTTGTGTGTGTGTGCTGAGGAAGATTCACCCTGAGCTAACATCTGCTGCCAATCTTCCTCTTTTTGTATGTGAACCACTGCCACAGCATGGCCACTGACTGACAAATTGGTGTAGGTCTGCACCCTGGCCTGGGCCACTAAAGTGGAGTGCACCAAACTTAACCACTAGGCAACTGGGGCTGGCCTCCAGTGAATTATTCTTTGAATTATTCTTAAAAGTAGAATTGGAGCAATAGATTTATATGCAGGTGCCTCATTTATATCCCATTATCAGAGTCCATGATTCTGGATGGTGTTAGAAGTAAAATTATTACTATAAGTTTCTTTGGATTCTTCTAGTATAAAAATATCTTGGATGGTGTGCAAGATGGTCCTGTAATATAATAATAATAATACCTAATATTTTGTAACCCTTGCACAGACACTGTGCTTACGTGCTTTCCACTTAGCACAACTAACTCAATTCATTTTCACAACAACCATGTGAGAGAAGTACTATTATTATCCACTTTTATGGAGCAGGAAAATGAGGCACTGAGACGTTAAGTAGGTTGCTTACAGTTTCATAGCCAGAAAGAGGGAGAGATGGGATTTGAACCCAGGCTGTTTAGCTTAAGAGTTCATACTTTTAACCACTAGGCTTACTGTCTCTCTAACATGCAGTGAAGTTCCAGTTCACATCAAACTTTTGATATTATACTAGGGATTTTTCTGGACTGTATGTTTTGAATAACGTTCCCATGACTCCAGCAGTGGTCAATTCTTGAGGAAAATAATCAGAAAAAAATCCATTGGATTGGCTTCTTTACTCTGATTCTTCCTTCAGCCCTATCTCGTACAATAAGTGTGTATCTAATATTTGTTCAGTTCCTCCTCCATACCAGATTAAGTGCTTTATGTTTATTAATGTGTTCATTCCTCATGACCCATATGAGATTTGCATGATTATTAGCTCCATTTTACTGATGAGCAAGCTGAGGCTTATAGAGGTTATGTGTTTTTCTTGTGGTCATAAGTCTAGCTAGGATCCAAAGGAGCAGCCTCTGGCACTAGTGCTAAGCCCTTTGTAGGATTGCTTCTAAGGATGCTTATCATTTGCAGGCCTGGGTTTCTCCATCCCTAAACAGTCGTTCAGATGTCTCCTAATGTAATGTCCAGCTTTAATTCTTTAGGAGTCTATTATTCATAGGGGTCATGGCTCCCCACTTAGTACTGGCTAAAGTAGAATTTCAAACCAGGCTCAAAAATTGGCACCCTCGTCTCTTGTTGGCTTTGGAAAATCACAAATCTTGAGCATATTAACCAACAAAACAAAATAATACTCGGAAAACTATATTTTTATTTATTTGCCCAGAAACTATTTTAAATCGAGCATTGTTAGTATTTATATTACGCAGGCTTTCCTTTAATTAATGAAGCGTTTTTTTAAATAATAAAATTTTCTTTAAAAGAGACAATATTTGGGGGCTGGCCCAGTGGCACAGTGGTTAAGTTCGTGTGCTCTACTTCAGTGGCCCAGGATTCGGAAGTTCAGATCCCCGGTGTGGACACAGCACTGCTTGTCAAGCCACACTGTGTCAGCATCTCACATAAAATAGAGGAAGATTGCACAGATATTAGCTCAGTGACAATCTTCCTCAAGCAAAAAGAGGAAGATTGGCAACAGATGTTAGCTCAGGGTCAATCTTCCTTACACACACACACACAAAGACAATATTTTTTTTTAAAGGTATGTTTTTCTTAGCGAGGAAGATTGGCCCTGAGCTAACGTCTGTTGCCAATCTTCCTCTTTTTTTTCCTCCCCAAAGCCCCAGTACATAGTTGTATATCCTAGTTGTAAGTCATTCTAGTTCTTCTATGTGGGATGCCACCACAGCATGGCCTGATAAACAATGTGTAGGTCTGTGCCCAGGATCCGAACCAGTGAACCCTGGGCCACCAAAGTGGAGCATGCAAACTCAACCACTTGGCTATGGGGCTGGCCCCCAAAAAGACAATATTTTATGTTAATGGAGGAATTGTTGCATTAAAGCAAATGCAGTTTTGCTGGCATTCACATGTTTAAAAAAAATCTTCCAAAAGTTGACCATAAATTTCTAAAGCCCCTGAAGCAAACTTTCTTAGTAAAAACTAGCAAGAGAGAGACTGAAGTAGAAAAGAAGTCATGACTAATTGCCTGGGAATGTTTCCTCACCCTTGAAAAGAGGTGGAAGAGTGGGATGAGGAAGTGGGGTGGTGTGACCTTGTGATCCTGGATGTCTTGTTTATGTTTCCTTATCATGAATCTTCTTGCTAAAAGTAAAGTGTCGGTAAAGTGGCTTTAGTCTGCCAGAGAGACTCTTGGCCTTGGTCCAAACTTAACTGAAATATTATCAGAAATACATTCTTTACCATGTATAGCACTTGCAAGTTCTTCTAATGAGGTCCACACGTGGTCGCCGAGTAGGCAGGATAATCCAGTGCCTTGGGCAGGGAAGAGCGTGCCCTCTCACTATCTGTCATGTAGGAGTTATCCACCGTATGTGGCTTTGCCTGGCATGTCCAGGGGACTGATGCCAAAGGGTTGTTATGTGGGACAGAAGTAAGTAGCATTATGTATTCGAGAGCCTCAAAGAGACCATCTAGTTTTTAGACTTTTATTCCAGAAAAAAAAAAGAGATTTAAAGCTCATTTTATTCTGGGACAAAACTATAATCTACTTAGAATTAAATATCTAAATTACTTAAGGATAAATGATAAGGATAAATGTTCTAAATGGCTACAAGGGAAACCTTATGGAGTATGCCTCTGGAAGGAGGCTAAATACATGGCAATTTTAGGAGAGATAAGGTAATGGATAGTTAATAGGGCAGGAAGACAGGGTTAGTGGAGGTGACAGAGTGGAGGTAACAAGTTCATGACACATAAGAAGCTCACAATATACACACATTCAAAGAATGTTTAGAATCAAGGTGGCAAAATACACAAGGTCCAGAATATACTTTAAAACATCAGTTGTTCTATGCCTTTTATTTATACAGTACTTAACTCTAAAGAGCTCTAAAGAACTCTAAGAATTTTACTTAGATTAGCCTATACAAAAGCCAAATTGGTTAGGAAATCAAAATTTCTATTTAGAAGTGAGGAAGTTAGGATATGGAGGGTTTTCATAATTTGCTCAAAATCGCTTTGTTTGGATTATGACCCAGGTCTTCTCTGACTTAGCAACTGAGCAGGTGACGTTCTTCCTCTCCACCATCAGAAGTTACCACGTTCCAGCTGAGTGCTGCCGTTTGGCTTGGAATCATAAAGCTGTAGGTTCTGAAAAGATGTCATCTCATTGAACCCTAGAGCCTTTTGCTTGAATCTGTTCCATATAAACTTTCTCGCCATATTTCTCAAATTAAATATCTCCAATGATGACATAATTGAGTAGTAGCACTTCTTCATCCCCTCTCCCCCCCCAAAAAAAGCAGCTGGAGAGAAAGCCAAGGATTGCCCAAAGTGACTCTCTTAGTTAAAGATAATCGCAGCAAAACCCTTCCCTCAACTGCTTTACATTGGTGGTGAATAAAAATGGTACCACTTTAGCCACATCTAATGTTCAGACAGTGTGATTTTTGACGAAGGTTAAAGCTCTTAGACAATTATAGCTCCCTTTTTTTGTTTTTTTTTTGAGGAAGATTGCCGCTGAGCCAACATCTGTGCCAATCTTCCTCTAATTTGTATGTGGGATGCCACCACAGCATGGCTTGATGAGTGGTGTGTAAGTCTGTGCCCAGGATCCAAATCCATGAACCCCGGATGGAAGGAGCAGAGCACATGAGCTTAACCACTACGTCACTGGGCCCACCCTGCTCCCATTTTTTTAAAATTGAAATATAATTGACACACAATATCCTGTTAGTTTCAGGTGTACATTACAGTGTTCGATATTTATATGCATTATGAAATCATCACCATAGTAAGTCTAGTTACTGTACAAAGTTGCTGCAATATTAATGATTATATTCTCTGTGCTGCACAAATACATTCCCGTGACTTATTTGTTTTATAACTGGAAGTTTGTACCTCTTAATCCCCTTCACCTATTTCACAGCCCACCCCCAAACCTGATCCCACTTTGGTAACAACTAGTTTGTTTCCTGTATCTATGTCTGTTTCAGTTTTGTTTTGTTTGTTCATTTGTTTTGTTTTTTAGATTCCACATATAAGTGAAATCATATGGTATTTGTCTTTCTCTGTCTGACTTATTTCACTTAGCATAATACCCTCTAGAGGCCTTCTCTGAATGGCTGAGTTAATGTGCCATTCAGGCAAGATTCAGGATTAGGATCTGGAATTCCATAATCACAAACTGACTATTTAACATTGTTTTTCTAATTATAAAAATAATTTACACAATTATCAAAAATATAAGAAAGTAAAAATCACTCATATTTCTGTGATTAAGAGATACTGTTAAAATTTTGGAGTATTTCCTTCCATTATTAACTCTATGCATTAGTAATTTACTTTACAACGTAGGGATCACACTATATATGTTTTAAAAATTCTGTTTCTTTTACTTATCACTAAATCAGAAATGTTTTCTTGTGCTATTAAATATTATTTAAATTGTGCTATTTACTAATTGCATATATTTCATTGCGAGGATATATTATAACATATTTAAGTGATCCTTTATGGTGATGGCTTAAATTACCTTGGCCTTTCGTGCACCTGCCTTCTGCTGATGTGCCGTTAACTTTTATGAGAGTTGCTGTTAAAAACATAGGCTTATTGTGATAGTTAATTTAATGTGTCAACTTGGCTAGGCTGTGGTGCCAGTTGTTTCGTCAACTAGTCTAGATGTTGCTGTGAAGATATTTTGTAGATGTGATTGACATTTATAAGAGTTGAGTGTAAGTAAAGGAGATTA